TAAACGAGTATAATCTGCAAACTGTAATAATAAGGTATATTGGTTTTATAGTTCAGGTTAGCTTCTTGAAACATGTCATCACGATGCTAATCGATTTCTCCGCCTCTATAGATGTTCCAAAATAAAATGGACATATTACTCTTCTTGCTATGTATCAGCATTCTGATCTTTGCCGAGAAAATCTTTAACAATCACGTGACAATAGATGTAGTGAAACTATTCACATAAATCTCATCACATGCTTTAACATCATGCTTCTCAACAAAATTTAGCGCAGTGTGTTAACAATAATAATTCTTAGTATTTAGCATAGTATCGTACTGACAATAAAAAAATCGAATTACCTTTATTGTAATGCATTAAGTAATAAATTTTAGGCAGAATGTAACATTGCGAAAATTAACAGTAATAGTAAGTGTGAATCAGAAATTTATTTTTTTACCTCAGTTGCTAATCTCCTGAATTTATACTGTAGATTCGAAATTACTTAATCTCAGAAAAGTTTTCTTGCAGGAAATAATCTTTTATATAGACTGTGCAGGTGAGAGTGATATAGATAGATAAACATTTTGTAGATATGGACGGGATAATTTATTTTAGAAATCTAGTTTAGTAAAAGAGTATGATGAGAATCTTAGCGATAAGAACAAATTAGTTATAGATATTTTTCAAAATTATGAGAGAATAAAGAAATAACTTGATACTGGGACTCGCATTAAATGGTCTAAGATCTGCGTACTTCCTCCCTCTTTGATAGCATCATATGTTTCATTTGCTTCTTTAACATTTTAGCTATATCAATAAAAAGCTTTATTATTATATCTTAATTACATTATTTTGTAAATTTATATACAAATTCTATATTATAAAAAAAATTAACTCTTTTTATTCTTTTTAAGAAACATATCACCCTTTTCTAGAATATAACATTTTATCGATTGAGATTGAAATGTAACAGTATTTTTTGCCGGATGATATGCAAATATGTTACTTCCCAACATCTCATTTAATTCATCAATCTTATCGAAATATTTCTTAAATGCTAAAAAGCTAAGCTCATTAGATTCTTTCAAATCACTAAAAATACTCTTTCCTACTTTATAATGTGGATCATTTGGAAGGAGTCGTGCAGTGCCAAATTTCTTCTCAACTTCATCTAAAATTGACTGTTTAATGACTGCAAAAAAAGGGATAAGTAATTAATAAAAAGCAAAATCATGCGAATTCATTTGATGCAAATATAAAGTTAATTCCTACTTTCAAATTTTTGTCCAACCAGGAAGTCATCCGCCACAGTCTTTAGATCTACAATGCGACCCCCAACCAAATCATATAATTTTTTCGCATCTTCTTCCTTGATACTATGTTTCTTAACCAGATATTCCATTGATTCTTCCTTATCAAGGTCACTGATTTCCATTACAGGTTTTTTCGCATGTAACCAAGAACTACGAGCTAAATAAGAATCACACTCTATAAGTAATACTATTTTCAGGAGCACAAAAAAATCATGTCAGTACTTACATTCCATTCTTCTAGGCACCGAACCTTCACTGCTGACAAATACAGCAATGTACTTTTGGTCATCTGCATTGTCCTTTGCATCGTCCTGGAGAATATCGAGGATTTCTGGGTTCTTATGAACTAATCGGCTAACGTTATCATAAATAATGACTGAAGGTTTCTTGTATTTTGCCCTATACACAGCAGAAGCACGCTTGAAGGCTCTCATAGCTCTTTCCCATTCAGAAATTTCAGGCTTGTCTATAAAAAGGAAATCATGTCAAATACATTGATTAGCAAAAATTAAAATGCTCTAGTTTATTACCTTTAGTTATATCCAAGATTTTTCATCCTAATTGTTCTGTGATAGAAATTTGTTCCTCAAATGCAAAATTAATGGCCTTTCCAAAAGCCTCACCTAACTCATTGAAATTTGCAGAAACATCAACATATATGACTCCCTGCCCTACTTCCCTTGATACCTGGTTAATGTAGTTTTCCCAGTATCATGTTCTTCACAGATCACATGATAAGATGATTGGTCTTCGTAAGGCTGAAGGATCTTTTTAAGACGCTTTACAGTTTCAGGTTGAGGAACCAACTTGTCTCCTGAAACTCCCACATCAGACTGAGTGCCCTTTTCTACAGTCTTGTTAAGAAGATCCACAGATATCAAACCAATAACGTCAGCCACAACTAATTTCCCAATAATGATAGCCTACAAATAATGAAACGTGTTGAGAACTTAAAATAAATAATGCATAACAAACAATGAAAATCTCATACCAGAAGCCGTTTTGCAGTGGCTTTTGCAAATTTGTTCAGATAGGAGGAAGAAGTAGAGTCTTGGGGAAAAGGTGGAGGAAAGGTAGAGTTTGTGTAAGATTTCGAAAGCGATGATTGAAATAGAACAGGTTTTGAATTTCTTATCGCAAATTTTTGTTGTTAAGAGAGCATGACTTGACAGTAATGAGGTGAGATGGTAAAACGTTCCTACGAAAATAATAGGCTATTCCGAGCAAGTAAAAAAATTTTAATGGTTGAAAGAAAGACTGATGAATAATCAAAAAAAAATTTTCTATTTACTGATTGTGCAAATCACGCGATTCAGCAGATCATTAGTCATTACGGCTAGTCTATCGCACAAAATACCTAAATGCGCAGTACTTCTTACGTATTGCAGTTTGAAGTGTTTGAGAGACAAAAGTTCTGAATGAGGCAAATGAATTTTTTTGGTTGAATCTAATCTTATAAGGTTTAGCTTCGAGCATATATAAAAAAGTGGGTTATGTTCACTTATTTCTGTCACTGCCGTCTAAGTATAACTGACAACAGTTTTATTCTATCTAGGATACTGGGACAAATGAAACCAGATCATGAAGTGGGATTATAAAACAAAATTTCACGGCTACGAGCTGAATCATTTGTATTCTGTATTAATAAAGCAACTCCAGTGATCGATTCATCGGAAAAATGCTTGTATTCTTTTTTTTTATTGATTTTTTTTTTCTTGGAAAAAACCGTTACCATTAGTAATGATCAAAGTCTTGGCATTTTTTTTTCCTTTGGCTTTGAGTATATGTGCGAAAAAACAAGCTTGAAAAGTAATTTT